CCAGGACAGAAGCAGCGGTGCCCTCCCCCACCCCCAGACCCCAGGCCCTCCCCGACTGGGCCAGGCAGGACCTTGGCACAGGGCAGCGGCCGGCACAGGGCAGCGGCCAGCACAGAGGGCGACGTCCCGTAAGCCTCCCTGTTTCTCGGCAGTTCACGCTGACACATAGTTTTCGGGTGAGACACAGGCTCTGGACTTTCAATCACAGAGCGGGTGCCTTTGGCCGCGAGGGCAAAGGGTGGCCTGACACCCTGGGCTGGCGGGGAAGTTCCCAGCTCACCCCTGTCCTACAGGCACCATGTGACCCAGGTGGCCCATCGAGTTCCTGTCACTCGGCTCTGAGACAGGAACAAAAAAGCTCAGTGAGGGATCGGAGGGGCCGCCTTGGGGACCGGGAGGATGCACAGGGAGGGGGCTGTGGCACCGGGCCAGTCCCCAGGCCACCCACCGCTGAGGCCACCTCCCTGCTCCGACCCTGCCCACCACCCTGCCACCTGGCCTTGGACTCCGTCCAGCTTTCAGGCCTGCCCTGGGCAGCCCTGGGGCCACTTGGTCCCCGGTGCGCTGGCCACAGCCACAAGGGGCCGGGCGCTTGCTGCTGGAGGAGGCGGGAGTCTGGAGCTCCTGGCTGTCGGCCTTGGCAGCCCCGCATCCTGCTCGGGAGTCATCTGTCTGGAATTCCAGTGGAAAAGCCTGTCCCTGAGCATGGTGCTGGGGCTCCTGGGTTCCCGGGCTGGTGGTTTGGGGGGCTGCAGCCACCTACCTTTCCCCTACAGGGAGTGGGGCTCCCCTCCTCTACTGGCCGAGCTCCCTCCGTTCTCACATCTGATGGGGGGCGAGGGACGTGAGCTCCCAGTGCTTTCTGCAGGGGATGGGGGGATGGGGGGCCCCAGCGTCTTGCCCTGCAAGGCCAGTCCTCCAGGTGACCAGGTCAGGCCTGTCAGCTGGGTGTGCACTGCTGTAGAATCAGATAAGGGTTCAGGTCTCTGCAAACCGGCTCGGCCACCCTCCCTGGCAGGGCCACCTCCCCCCACACAGGCATTGTCACTGCCACAGCCCCACAAGAGGTCCACTTGCTGGGGACCGCCGGGCAGGTGAACAGGCGTCTGCTGGCTGCAGGTGCCGCTCACTCCCCTGAGAATGAGCTCCTGGAAGGGCGATCAGCAAGGGAGTCCGGGGTGCAGCACGCGCCTCCTGGTTGATGTGTAACAGACACAAAGGGCAGCAGCCGTGGGTGTGACACGGTGACACGTATTCCAGTGGCCTTCAGCAGCACACTGGGCTCTGCCTCCCCGCTGGGGACCCACTGGGTAGGGGGAGGGGGTACTCACGCAGGCCTCTCTCCTGCGGGCCAGGAGTGCCTGGCCGAGCTGGCGGCGAGGGTCGGGTGGGGTGAGGGGGGTGAGGCATGTGTCCATCTCACTGCCCTGCGGGGAGCAGCAGCCAGACCCAGTGAGACCGCCCAGCCTGCGAGGCAGGAAAGTGCCTGTGCCTGGCGAACCCATCGCCCACCCGGGCATCCGTGCAACCGGATGCCCACCCACCTCCTGGGGAGCAAGACCTCTGGCTCGGCCTGGGTTCCTCGCGCCTGGCTCTTCCTCACCTTCCGCCAACCCCTCCGCCACCTCCAGGAGACAGGACAAAGCCCGCCAGGGCAGCGGTTCCTTGGCTGAGGGACACCGTTCACACCCCTCCTGGTGCAAGCTGCCAGCACCGGCCAGCTCCCCATCTGGACTTGGCTTTGCTTGGGGACCCCAGTGATACGCCCTGCATCCTGTGCTGGACGCCTCGTTCTGGTCCCCGCTAGCGTGTGGCCGAGCCCAGGACAGCAGGTCCAGCCTCAGAGGACGTTCGGACACCTCAGAGGGGTCTTTGTCTCTCTACGGCCAAACTGCAGAAGGAGTTGCTTTGATCTCCCCCCAAACTGCATGGCCTCGGAACACAGATCCCCTCCAAGATGGGGGTGCAGGAAGGGTGGGCCCAGGCACCCCGAATTAAAGTGATCATTGAAACGGTCCTGGGAGCAGCCCAGAGCACCCCATGATGGACAGCAGGATGGGGGTCCGCGCAGTGGTCAGGCGACTGGAGCTGAGTGCTTCCTGGACACTAAACAAGCTGTGGGCCGAGCCTGCGTGTTGGCTTCTTCATCCTCGGGCCTGGCTGGTGGGCGAGTGGCCTTTCAGTGCCGAGGGCCCTCGCCCAGCGGCCTGGCTGCCCCCACTCCAGGTGCTCATTCACCAGACAGCAGGCGGCCCTCCCCGCTCCGCCGCTGACCGCTGACCACCACTGCCCTGGAGGCAGGGGCTGGGCCCAGACGGAAGGCCAGCTTTTGGCACCCAGTGCGGTGGCTGCCACTCCTGTCTCCGCTTCCACGTGCCATCCCCGCCCCTCCCTGTCCACACCCCCCATGGCCCCTCGGCCCAGGATGGAGGTCACCCTGGGTGAGGCCCCCAGGCTTGTGGGATGGGGGCGACAGGGTCAGTGCCTTCCTGAGGACGGGGGAACGGGAGAAATGGCCAGTGCCCTCCTGGGGCTGGGGGCCGGGGCTGGGGGACTGCTCAGATGTTTTCGGGTGATCCACAGAACCAGGGCAATCCATACTGATGGCGTCCCTTTTTCTTGAGGGGCCCTGCTGGCCGCCCCACCCCTAGTAAGTGTGACCGGGGGAGAAGCCGCAGGGTCCTGAGGCAGAGCTGGAAGGAGGAGGCCTGGCTGGCTCCCGTCGGAGCCCAGGGGGCCCAGTGTCAGGGGGCCATGCTGCCCCACGACAGAGGGAGGTGGGGTGGGGACCGTCACGGGACGAGGGGCCCAGTGCTCCCTCCCCCAGCCTGCTGGCAGCACTGTCCTGGCGCCAGCCCTGGCCAGTGGGAGCGAGGCCACGGTCCCCGGCCTTGCGCACATGTGCCTGGGAGCCGGTCGCTGTCATTAAGTCGCATTTGCCCAGAACAGCTGCTCTTTTATTGCGAAGGCTGAGCGTGCCCAGCCGGGGACGCGGCTGCGGAGTGGACAGGGCCCACGCTCTGGAAAGGCGCCACCCGCCCCGTGGGTCCCAGGCTCGTGGCCCGCGTGCGCGGAAGCAGTTCCTGCGAGGGACGCTTCCTCGTTGCCACATGTCCTGTTGGCCCGGTCCCTCCGGGGCTCCTGATGGACTGGGACACGGGGTCGGGGGCAGGGTCGCAGGGTCTGTAACCGACAGGACCACCGCCTGCCTGAGCGGGCGCGCTTCTGAGTGTGCGGCTGCCCCGTGACGGGGCCATGCTGGCTGAGGGGCGGCACCCACACCCACCCTGGGCCCCCTGTGCAGCCTCCCCAGCTCAGGCTCCTGCCGGCTCAGACCTGGTTCCTCTTGCCAGGAGCCCAGCGGGTGGCAGATGTGCCCGCAGGACCCAGCCTGGCCTCTGCCCGTCACCTTCCTGGCCTTGACCAAGTGGCCCTGGGTGCGGGGGCGGGGCAGGGCAGGGCCGTGCGAATGTGCGTGGGCCGTGTGTGGGTGCGAGTGCACACGTGGGTGTGTACACGTGAGCGTGTACACATGAGCATATGCGTGCGAGCGTGTACATGTGTGGGAGCATCTGCTAGCGTTTTTAAACTCTGAAGCACACAGGACGTCAGCACGCAGCCCCTGAGGGGCTGGCAGGGAGGCGGGCACTGCCAGGCGGGGGGTGGGGGTCCGCCCCAGGGAGCATCCCCTGGCCTGGCCATGCTGCGGATGGAGCAGGGGGGCGCACTGGCGGGGAGCCGGGGAGAGATGGGAAGGGATCAACCAGCAGAGGCCAGGCCAGGAGAGGCTGTGCTGGGACCGGGGGCTGGAGGGAAATTGTCACCGGAGGACACTCAGTGGATACTGTGGGCGGGGCACCCCTGGATGGCAGCAAGGGGGTGCGCTTGGGTCTCATTTCTGACCAGGCCTGAGCCGGCGGCCCTCCTTCCTGGACCCCCCGGGCCCCACCTGCCCGCACCTGCCCCAAAGGAGGTGGCGAGCTCCCGGGAGGGGTGATCCCCGCCTGGGCTCGGCTGTCCACTTCCGGATCTGAGCCTCTCCCTGGGGACGGGGAGTTAAGGTGGAACCCACCGGGGCTCAGAGGACACCCGGGAAGATGCTCACTAGTGGAAGGTGCCATCCAGGCTAAGATGGGAGAGGTGCGTGCTGCCCTGCCCCTGCCCAGTGACACCCTGGTCCTGGGGGCCCAGATGGAGCCGGCTGTCCTGGGGCGGCCAGCCTGTACTCAGGGTCTGTGCTGTGAGGCTAGCAGGGCCTCGCTGAGTGACCAGGAGGGACAGACGGACGGACGGGAGCAGAGAGGCAGCCTGTCTTCCTGGAGTGAGGCCTCTGTCCCCAGGGCCCCAGCTCTCCTGCAGGAGCCCTGCCCATGTGTCCCCTGCCCTGACTCGGTGGCCGCAGCCTCCCGGGGTGACCGAGCCTCCTGAGAGGGAAGTGGCTGTCTGTTCTCTCCTCTCAGAGTCTCTGGAGACCTCTCGTCCCCGTTCCGTGGCTCACACACGCGTCGGCACGTGTCTGCACGTGTCGTGTATCTATCTGTGCGTTCACGTATGTGCATTGTCAGTATAGTGTATGTACATGTCCATGTACCTGCATGTTTACACGTGTATTTGTTTCTGTGTCTGTGTTTACGTGTTTGCATGTCTGTGTGTTTATGTGTTTGCGTGTCTATGTGTTTACTTGTATTTACACGTGTCTGTTTATGTGTCAGTGTATCTGTATCTGTGTTGGTGTGTGTGTCTTCACCTGTGTGTCTATCTCCAGCCTGTCTTGGGGACCTGCAAGCTCAGCCCCCCAGACTTGCTCTCCCCGCCCAGAAGCTGCTGTGCCTCTCCCCCACCCCTGTCCCGTCCGGCCCCCACCCACCCCCAGAAGCCCCACAGCTCCCCTGCTGCCCCTCCCTGATCCCCCGACCCTGGAAGCGGGGGCCTCCTAGCCGAACCTCCCCACCTGTGGGTGGCCTCACCCCACCCTCCCCGAAGTCCGTCCAAGCCCTAACAGCGGCCTCAGATAAAGGCCACTTCCTCCTGCTCCCACACCTGCCCCCACCATTCCCTCTGCTTCTGCCGGCTCCTTCCCCAGGTGGCAGGGCCGGCCAGGCATGGGCTCCATGTAGGCGAGGCCCAGTGACCTCGGTGCCCCCAGGGGGCCCAGTTCAGACACTGACGCAGGAGGCACGAGATGAAGCCACAGGGCGGGGAGAGAGAGGCAGGCGAGCTGCAATCTGAAGGGTTCTTGCTCCTGGTCTCGGTGGGCGCGGTGCTCGATGGCCTGGAATGACCCCTCCCCCCAGCCGTCCTCTCCTCGGGGAGCTCTGCGGTGATCATTCCCTGCCTCACCACGGAGACTGGCTCAGGCCAGACAGCACCCCCCATCCGTCAGACCAGCCACCAGCTAAGGCCTCAAAGGGAGACAGGCGCCCTCCGCACGTGCTTGGGAGACGTCCCAGGGCTCCCCTCTCCGCTCCCCTCCTACGGCTGAGGCAGGACAGGGGTCACAGCTCTGCGTTTATTGTTTCCGGCGGGGAGGGACGGGGATGGGCACCAGGCTGCGCACCAGCCAGCAGGAGGGTTTTGCGGGCAGGCGCTGAGTCCCGGTGGGCGCCGAGCGGTGAGGACGCCCATCGCCACGGCTGCTGAAGCTGATTCTGGGCCTCAGCCGCGCAGATCCTCCCAGGGGGGCCGGGGAACCTCTGGGCGGTGTGAGGAAGTCAGCTGGGCTGATGGAGCTGAAATGAGCAGGGGAAGGGACAGCAGGGAACCTTCTGGAAGAGGACTAAGGAATCGGGGCTGGGCTCCTGGGAGTGACCGAGCCTTGGGGGCCCTTCCCCCGGGGCCACGCCCCCCAGCGCGGCCTAGAGGCCCCGACGCT